AGATGACCGTTCATCAGGCCTCATCTTAGGCTGAAGAATGCAATTGCATTCCTCTCATGCCCGCAAACACCCAAATTTGTATAGAGAGAACAATCTCTTAGAAAAACAGTGGGGCCAGTGAGTATTTTACAAAGCCCAAGCAAAGCAGTACAAGCTCCCTGATGTGTTCATGTTCACAAGAGGAGCTGCACATAAAGATCTGCAGAGGGCAAAGATGTTGGGCTGAGTCCCGGTGGCTCCGCACTCACCTGCAAGGAAGCCCAGCAAGAAACAGCCCAGCAGCCCGGGGCAGCTCAGCCACATGCAGACCGTGATCCTGCTCCCAGCCATACGACCCGTGGTTGCCAGCAGCTCTACAGGCAGTGAGGAGTGCAGGAAAGCGGCCGCCTTCCTCCTCCTCTTCCTCCTCCCACCCTCAGCCCCTGGCTTCTGGGATCCTCAGCACTCATCCTGCCAAACCCACTTGGATGCTGATACTATGATTCTCTGAGTACAATAAAAAACTTCCATTTCTTCAGTCTTGCCCCGTGAGACAGTTTGCACATGGCTGTATGTTTATCTCTGCAATAAATATGCCTCTAAACTGCAGCAAGCAACATATAAATACTATTTTTAAAGGTTAATTTTTGTTAATTATCAGGACTTTCTGCTTTTGAAAATTCCTGTTTTAAGCTTAATTTCAACTAGCATTTATCCTAGTGGAAGATGCCAAAAGATGAAATGGAGGGAGAGAAAAGTTCTTWATTTCTTTACTGAAGAAGCACGGAATTGCTCTTCTTTGCACTAGCGGTTAGATTAATGCCTGGCAAGTGATGAATACTAGGGTAGCTCAAAACACTGCCTAGATCAACCAGCTTCTAGATATCACCCATTTTGAAACCTGAAAAAGCAGTAAAATTATTTTCTATTTTCCTTCTTTACATAGTATGGATTACAAGATTCTCAGGACCTAGTTTTGGAGGTAGAATTCAGACAAAATGCTGTCTCGGGAGTACTTCACGAGTATGGACACAATCCCAAACAACATGTATAAACCTACCTGGCCCTGCACGTCATTGCTGGTGGGTTTCTACGTTGGCACATTGAAGCTAAGTCTGATCTTTCTGGAAAAAAAGACCCGCCCATCTGAGACTAATAACTGGCCAAAGGAAGGAAAGCTTTTCTGGGAGCCTGGCCATGCTCTGATTCTCACCACACAGTCCTTAAAGGAGTCCAAGGGAAAGAGATCATGAGAAAGAAATGACAGTGCTCCACGTACCAAACATTTCTCAGACATACGAGATGATTGAATCAAAAATATTCAGAAACAGCTGAAAAGACTGGTGTATGTCCCAGTCTTTTCCCTAGGGCTTTTCAAAGAAGCTAGATATTATGAAAGTCTCACACCACTTGGGTATTCTGGTCCAGTCACAGATGCTATCTTAAGCATATGGGTGGATGTCTATGTCCAATGATAAACACGTCCAGTTTTGTGATCTTGTTTTTCTGTCATTTCCCAACTGCTCATAAGCCATCACAAATTCTGAACAGCAAGGACTTTTCACACCAACATTTCACTTGACATATACAAACCAGATGGAGTTCCACCTACAGAAATTATAAAGAATGAGCATATTGCTGTATTATTAGCACTTATATAGCACCACAGGTGCAAGCTTGGCATACAATAGGCAGAAAAATGACAGGAGCTTTTGGAGAGTGCTATCTAAATTAGACCTCATATGATGATAATATCAGAGGAGGGAGAGAATAAAAATAGCAACAATAAGAAAATATGAAGTGTATTTATTTCTATGCCTATGTCTTTTAAAGGGGGACCTGCATCAACAATTCTGAGGTTGAACCCAATACTGAGGCTAGACTTGGAATCTCTTGTTTAAAACAGCAATGACCAAAAGCCTTCTACTGTTTGTGTCACAGTCCTAATTCCATTAATAATTAGTTGTGCTATGTTATTACACTCCATGGATTAGGCAAGTTTACACACTTGCAGTGTATGATAAGCTATATGGTAATCTATTCTGTTCCAGTAAATGTGAGTATAACACACAGCATAGATCTATGCCTTGAATCAGCTTCCTGTGGAGACCAGGGTAAGGAGTGACCTTGCTACAGAAGAATTTTTGTGTCCCTCCTGGATCATAATTATTTTATATGTATTTGAAATTGCCTGCTGATACCTTGCAAGAATATTGCTGATCTATCTTACTGATTTCCGGGGAAGACGAGAAAAACATTCTATAAAGTCTAAATCAATTCCATTCATCCACAGGAGATAGAAGTTTTGCCCTGATAATAGATTGTGCATATGCTGCTGACTTCCTCTTTAGAAGGGGGAACAGGCCCCCCAACTCAAGGCTTGGGAGGCTACCTCTACTCTATAGAACACTCACAGTAAGAAGGGAGATAGGGAGAAGCATATTACATCCAGATTCTTCCTAAGAATCATTGAAGGTTAAAGACCATCTGGTCTTTTATTTGAAAATTAAAATTGCCCAAGAACTCCTTGGTGAATGAGCTGTGTATCTAGATACTAGATGGCAGACCCTGCTATGCCTATCTTGTAGTTTGTGGAACTTTATGCCTGTGCTCCCTTTTTTTACAGAAAGGAAAGAGATTGAGGCATACACTTATGAGCACAGTTTTCCATGGAATCTCTGTCATGTTTCCCACCATCTGTTTGTCTTCTCCTCTCTGACCATGTCCCAAATCTGATATAAAGATGTCTTAGTAGTTCTTGAAGAAGCTATTGTACAGCACAAGTTGTAGTCCTGCATATTGAAAACCAAAATGAGCACTGGCTTATCATAACCTATACTATAAACTGGGGTGGTTTCCTGCAACAGGGCCAAAAATACCTGAGCTGATGGCTGATAAGCAAGAATAAGAAGGCTGCCTTATAACAATAAGGCAGTAATCTCAAGAAATGCCAGCAGCAACAATTGCACTCAGGATTGAAATTAAAAATCTTCATGCTGACGTGGGAGATAGACCACACACATTCAGACTGCATGGATAGCAGAGTCTTTAATCTCACGTCCCTTTTTTATTTAGGTGACTAGGTTAGAGCTGGGGCAAGAATGGGACTGACTCCATCTGAGGATTTTCTCAAAAAAATTAAGTTCTATTTTCTTTTAAAATTCAACTGCTAAAGGTTGTGGTTTTCAATGAATAAACATAGATCCCAGCCTACACCCATATCTTGCAGAAGGGAGTAAATAATTTGAATCCCACTTTACTAAATCATAATTGTATACTGCTATCTTACTATCTGCCTTCTGGGGGATTATCTCTGGATCTATCAGCCCTGGTATTTTTCTACACAGAGACATGAAGTCAACAGACGAGTGCTTCTGCTATGTCCTATCCACTGTGGTGGTTAGGGCACAGCCCTGAACTGTGTGCTCAAAAATAGATTTTATTTAAATGGATGTTATACCCAGTACCACCACACTGGTACACAGTTAAGAGTGTACAAGCTCTATATTGTGTTAGGTACTGGGTCCTACCATTGTATATTGTCTACCAGTTGTTGTCAGAAATGTTTCTAAGGAAGCTTAAATGAACCAATGATAAGATTAAGCAAGAGACTAAAAATATCTTATGTCTTCTGAACTGAGAGAAAAACATACTAAGAGAATTTACATGACAAATAGCAAGATAGTTCTACAATTTTGGACTTTGGTACTTCAATTCTGCATATATCCTCCCCAGCAATGCAAAAAAACACTCTTTATGCATCCAGCTGGTCAATAAAAGCTGTTCATCACTTCTCCCTTTGCAACGTGGATGGTAGACTGGTGTTATCATTTCCTGGATTGCAGCAGACAAAATCATCTAGGTTAGTTTAAGTGATGATCTAAACTAACCTGCTTAATTTTGCAAGAGATGTATTATAGACCATTGATATGAATTGCTCCACTGGGATAAAAAGCATCTCCAGCACCAAGGAGTGATAAAACAGGTGGAAATAGCAATGTCCTCCATCCCCTCAGCTATATTTGGGAGAAGATATGTCTGCACGGTCTTACTCTGAACTCTTTCATAAACAAATAAAAACCAAACTAGGGATAACAGCTGGTAGAAGGGTATCTATAAGGGGATAAGGGTATCTGGATTTCAGAAAGAGAAAGACTACAATTAAGCAAAATAATGACTTTAATTAAAATCACTTGACTAACCGCTTAATTAGAAGAGATGAAAAAAATATGAATAAATGAGATACAGTGTCTTGGTAAATATCTATGAGGACACTGAAATCCATCAGATCAGGAGTCTTCTAAGAAATGGTGGAAGCCTCATTTGAAATGCCAGGTCAAATTACACAAAAATATTTGCCATGCTGAGTAATCCTGCAGTGACAAAGTACTGTATCAATTGACCTGATTCTCTGAAAGTCTTCTCTATCTGATCTCAGCTGTCTGATACAGAGTTGTAAGAGTAAGCTGCAGGCCGAAACCAGAGAGTTTAGGAAGTTGGTAATAATTTGGTGTCCTTTATTACGAGCATAATCAATTTTCCTTGCTTCTAATTACCTTCAAATTAAAAATATATTAATATGGACAAGGCAAGATAAGAGCAGATTTTGGATGAGAAAATAAAAGCAGGTCTTCATCTTGAAAGATATGTTTTGTTAGATTACTTTGTGGCTGACAAAATGTGTTGCCATGTCTTTACTCTGGTGACTAGAAGACTTCTTGTTTAATTTTATTTGCAAACAGCTGCAATACACCCATCATGTGATGAGAACATCACTGAGTGAATACTGGGCTGATAACCCCAGATCTACCATTGTTACACACTTCACACTTTACGTATAGACAGTCTTCCCATCTTCATGCATGAAATCTGTTTTCCTGTAAGAAGCGCTATGAAAAATAATCAACTAGCTGCATAAGAAGCTCTGAATATACACCCAATGATTTAAAATATTGAACATATTATACAGGAAAAAAAGTCTTTTTTTAATTAATGTATAATGTATTATAATGTAGTGTCTCTCACTTCAGAAGTCATGTAAAATTTGAGGATATCTAATGGAAGATATTRCCTTGTTAACACCTTGTTAAATGCACTCCAATTGGGTATACTATTTGCAAAGAATGCAACTGTGTGAGTTTTATGTTCTTGCAATAATCCTCCTATTGTTTATTACGGTCTGGTTTTGAGGCTTCTGCAAACTGTCTACTTAGTCTTTTGCTGATGCTGATACTGCTGAAACTTATGCTACTTCTTTCAGTGTGTCTGCTGCTGCCTGCACTGTGAAGGCTGCAATAGAAATCTGCCTCTTTACTTCTTCCCAGGCTTTATGTTGATCAGCTTTGCTTTTAATGTCAAACAAGGCATCATAGATTCCAGGGAATGACTCTCCTGCATACTTGTTGTGGCTGCTTGGAGCAAAGATGACATGTCTGTAGGGAAGTTAAGGAAAAAAAATATTCTGCATTAGGAAAACAAAACATATTGTTTTTCAAATAATCTGTACCTATATCAGCTATCAAATTATTGACAATGAAGATGCAAATAAGCAAGATTCTTGTACTAATAGTGCCTATAATATATGGAGCAAAAAAAAAAAGAGCTATATTATTCCATATGAATTCAAGAATAATAATCTGTAATTGTAGCTAAGAACACTAGAGATAAAGCTGTCTAAAGTATTTTCCTTTGCCTTGACTTAGACGGAAAGATAAAGAAAAGCCTTTCTCACGCACATTCTCTGATAGTTAAAGGCATGTTTTGAGCTGAAACTTTTAAGTGAACTAAAGCTGAAACTTTAACAAAAAACTTCTCAAGAGATATTTTAATCAGAAGCTGTAACAAGTATGTGGATTCTAAATCTTAAGCTCACTTGCTTGAAGTTCTTGTAGTGGAAAGGTTGTTGTTTTGAAGTATAGAGCGTGGAAGAAGAAAACAAAAAGCTACACTTGACTTTACTATTCTGCCTTTCAAGAAAGATTTATTACCTAAACAGGATAAGACAGAAGAGTTCACTTCAGTGCTACTGAAGTTGCTTCACTCTACATGTTTTCTACTATAGCTATTCTACTATAATCAGTCAAATTTAGATGTTTGAAGTATATCATATTTTTCTTTTAACTCACAATGACTTTCTAACTTTACCTGTGAAATAACTTTACCTGTGAAATTATCTGATCGGAGTCCAGAGTCAAATTTTTAGATCTGGTAAAGAGGCTTACASCTACAGGCTTCTGACAAGACTCTTTTGCCTTCTGTACTGTATACCTCACTGAAATTTTTCCTAAGATTGTTTTCTCTTTTAAACCTATTTTCACTATGCTGAAGAGAATCATTATGCTTCCATTGAGAGGCCTGTAAATCATAAAGTGATTTTCCTGAGAGAGAGAAGGCATAAAGAGAAAGCAAAAAAAAACAAGCATTCCTYACCTGTAGAATGGCCTGTCAGGTAGTCCAAGAGGATCAATGAAAGCCCTTTCTAGAAACATGAGTCGATCATTTAAAGATCTGACAGCAAGTAGGCTAAAAAAAAAAAAAGATAAGAGAGGAATATGTTAACTGTAAAATGATTGCTCCACTTTCTTCCTGTGCCAGAACACTCACAGCTCTGGATTTAGGAAGGAAAATATATCCAAGATGTTGACCTATTCAAGTTTACTGGCCACAGAAAATAGCCCAAGTCAGCTAACCTGCACTGTAGGACTACAGTGATCTAGACTGTGAGATAGTCTGATTTATAACCTGAAAGTCTACAACCATTCTTAAAAGACAAGAAATAACATCAAAGAAAATGTAGATTTATCAGATATTTTCTCTCATGCCATTCCTCACTTCTAGATCTCCTTTTCTTCAGTGTGTTTAGGCAGGCCATTCTTTTCTGTGACAAAATTTTAAAGACCTTATTTTCCACTAAGTCAAATAAAGCATCATATCACCTAAAACCACCTCAGTAAAATCATATTTACTTTCATGCAGAACCACATCAGCTGAGGAACCTTGTGATGTTAGAATCATCCTTTGAGTCATCCAAGAATCGTTTTTTCTGATTGCGCATATTATATATTCCCTAGATCACAGACCATCTGGGACTGTGTGCTTTGGATTACTCTGAGCATCATACTGATACTTAACAAATACAAAAAAATGTTAATAAGAATGTATTGAATGTACATATGTCTTGTAGTCTACATCCTAAGTGACTCATTGCAGAGCTTCAAGGCATTCACCAAGAAAGACTGAGGTAAAATTTACGTCTCTAAGCCTAGAGTACTCTATCGTTATCAACGAAATTATTTGAAATTTGCATTAATGTAAATGAAAACAGAATCAGATTGATTGAATTAATGCTTAGATTGTGTCAGCCATTAATGAAATGATTTTGAACTGAACTTTTTCATTTGCTGCTGTGCCTTACAACTTAGCAGGACRTATTTTATTTTTGAAATGAAATCACTATAGTTAGCAGTAAAATGATTTCTTCTACATTTATTTTGAAATCTCATCTAAGTCTGTGGATGCATTTTAGCAGCTCAGAAAAATAAACAGATTGAGATTTACATGGTAAATCAAATATATAAATACATCAAGTTTGTGGAACTTCTAGAAAGGGTCCAGTGTAGAATGACAAAGATGATTAAGGGACTGGAGGAAAGGGATCTTACGAGGAAAGACTAAGTGAGCTGGGCCTGTTTAGCCTAGAGAAGACTGAGAGGAGATCTGATTAKTATGTATAAGTAACTGAGGGGACAATATAGGGAGRAGGGGGCCAAACCTTTCTCGGTGGTGGCCAGTGACAGGACAAGGGGCAATGGTTACAAGCTGCAGCACAGGAAGTTACTTCTGCATATGAGGAAGAACTTCTTTCCTGTGAGGGTGACAGAGCACTGGAAGAGGCTGTCCAGGGAGGCTGTGGAGTCTCCTTCTCTGGAGATCTTCCAAACCCGCCTGGCTGCCACCCTGTGCCCCGTGCTCTGGGTGTCCCTGCTGGAGCTGGGGGTTGGACTGGGTGATCTCTAGAGGTGCCTCCCAACCTCACAGAATTCTGTGACTCTGTGATAACTTGACAGGAGCAACAAAATCAAAATAAGTAATACAGGAAAGATCTGAGAGGGCAGGGAAATTTGAAAATGATTCACAAAACACAAAGAGTAATTCTGCTTATAAAAACAATTTCTCTGTTCATCCAAATGAGCCTTTCTGAAGTAATACAATTTACTATAAACATACCTAAATAGTAAGCCCATGTAAATGCTTATTTATTAGAAAATTGTTAATTCATTTATCTTAAAAGTTGCCACCATAGCTCTTATTCTCAGCTTAGAAAGATGTCGCTTATTCTCACCTTCCCTATGGATAAGCATACAACATGCATCCTTCCCAAGAAATGTAACTATAAATACACATACATAGGTGGCCTACAGAGACTAATTAAGAATTGAGTCAAAAACTAATAGACTTTTAGCATAGGTGGCTCATAGAAAGCTTGTCAAAAAGCCTGGCAAGGCAACAGTCATGGTGCAGTTATTCTCTGCATTAACTGGTACCAATATCTTCAAAATTACAGCGTGCTGACAACTGAAAATGCTGAGTTTACATTTTTTTATTTAATGATATTCCAATCATAAAATCCTAGAAGGTTTTCTGCACTTGTAGGAACTGACACACCTGACCTAGCTCTGCTCATGCTAACCAACATCTCATCACATTCATGTATGCTCCTGGCACTGCTCCTGAGCTAAGACCTGTCACGAATTGGCACTCATTAGCTTGGATACTCTTCAAAGCTAACACAGCTGGATTCTCAGTGTCCGCAGTGTCTCAGAGGTCCATGCTCAGATGTTCAACACTTCTGCATTTTGTTTCATGGTGTAGCTAGACCTCTAAAGACAAGATTCCATAAGCACTCCAAATGGAACAAATGAATGACAGTCACTTGTCACCAAGATCATTTGTGGAACTAAATGCAAGTGAACATTATGCGGTGGGAACCTAGAAAACTGCACAAATTACTTGTTTGGAAGACWAAATTGTTCAACTTACTTATTGATATCTATTTGCTGCATGTTCTCATGAAAGTGAGCAGAGACTTCTGTAAAATTCTTCACAGCTGAAAACAGAGCATCTAGAAGAAGCAATATGGAAGGAGTTACCTTCAGATTCTGAAGAAATCACTTAACAAATCAAATTCTTCAAATTAAAACTACTTATCTTTCACAGTGATCATGCTTTGGTAGTTCTTACTGAATGGCAAAAACATTGTAAGACCCCATATTCCTATGTTAAAAAATAAATCTATATGGCCTTGTATGAAGCATTGTCTTGGAGAGAACAGAAATTAGTATTTCTGTAAATACTGTTATTTGCTACTTACTGAAAGTAAAGCACACTACCAGAACTGGACTATTCAGGTAGGTGCAGGTTTTGCAAAGCACGACAGGAGCAAGTAAGTAAGCCAATGAGTGAGAGAAAGAGGTTGTGTAACTGTTTATGTGTCATAAAATGGTTATTAGTAATCAAATAACACTGAGTTGTACATAATGTTGTCAATAGATACACTACAATAAAGAGGCGGTCTCACAGGTAGGAGAGAGTTTGTGAATCCCTATTATGTGAATAAAATTTCACATGCCAGTACAAGATCCTTACTGCAGCCCAGGGGTAGACTGTGGCTGCATGAGTAAACCCTCAGCTGAACATCTCAAGAGGCCTCAAGATGGCAACTGCCATCACTGAACTGAAACCATAAACTGAAATAAGGAGTTCTAACTGGATATAAGGATTTTTATTTTTTTTTCACACAGAATATAGTCAAGCACTATTGCTCAAAGAGCTTTTCCTCTCTCTGTCCTTGGGGATTTTCAAGATGGCTAAAATTTCAAATTGTTTGGAATATGGCTGTTGTTTTATTCACTGTTCACACAGCACAAGGCACAAGTAAGTATCAGTTCATGACTAAGACTTACACATTAAGATAAAAGGAGGACTGTGATGAAAAATAGTACATACCAAAAGATACACTGTATTTTGATAGTTCCTCTTCATGGTTCTTTGACAAATTGTAGATGACATAAGCATAATTGCTCACAGCTGCTGCATAATCTCTGCAGTCGAAGGGAAGCACAACAGAGTTGGCCAACTCAAACACCAACCCTCCCCGTACCTGAGCCACTGTCAGATGATTCTTGAAAGTGGGATCATAAAACCCCTCCACAATTTCATAGGTTTCATAGACACTGTGGTAAACTGGATAGCTGCTATATTTTTCTACATCCTGAAAAAGAAACAAACGAAAACAAACAGAACTGTTATTAAGGTCAGATGTGGACATTTCAGCTTTGTTTGAAAACTTTTGCTGTGAAATTCAAGGCACTGTGAAGTGTTCACTTCAGAAAATCAAACGAGAACTGCTCTTAGACATAGACATTATGATAAGATGAATTTTGCTGTGATGACATCACTTCAGGTCACACGGGGCTCTAGGTAAACATCTACGAAAAGGTACAGAACTGTTAGTTGGCTAAATATAGGTGAAATTGCTCCTCCTCTCTTTGACTTGCTCTCAACAGCCATTTTGTCTGTGTCTTCAGATATGTTCTTCCAAAGGAAAAAATCTCATTTAATAGACCATCCCTCGAACATTTCTGAGTTGGTYTCACCTCAGTGTATGTTGTAGTCAAATCTTCTCCATTAAAAAAAATCACTGCKGAATTCAAAGCTTCATAGTTGTTATTAAATCATTCATAAGCTATCATAAGCCACTCATAAGCCTTCACTATTCACAGTCAGTTCTGAGAACATCTGTTTACTCTAAGCAAAGGTCTTTTATCTTCTGTTTGACTGATACCAAGTTGACCGTTACTTCTATTTATTAAATAATTGTGTTGTAATAGCACTTTATAGCTAGGACTCTGCTCTGGCTCACCAAACAGAACCAAAAATGGTACTCCTGTTCCAAAAAGCTGGCAGTCTGAACGGGTGAATGAATTACAGTAGATGTTTTTCAGGCCGTTACACATGAAACAAAATTACAAAGCCACAGACTTACCCAGTTTTTACTGTAACGGGCTCTGCCAGAAGCGATGCCAAGCCGTTGAAAAAAGACCTCAAAGTCATTGCCAGAACCCAGTTTATTTATTCTTTATTGAGAAAGAGGAGAAAATGCCCTCAATGAGAAGGGTTTAAAGTATCATTTATTGTAAGTTTCCAAGTACTTTTGTATGTTGCTTACTCTCTTGTCCCCGGTACCACACAATCACTCCCCAGCATGCTCTATCTGTGAATATTCCTCCAATTGCCTATGACCCCTACGCAGCATGCACCTCTTACTGTCAGGCTTAGAAACCTAGAGTTATTGTAGAAAGTCAAACATTCAAGAGGACAATTTGACTCACTGTATATAATTACTGGAAAGACCCAAAGACAGCTTCTGGCATACCCTTTATTTCTTTTATCACTGACCTGGGCACCTCTTTATATTCCCTCGATGGATTTTTTTTATACCAGCTCTCATACAGAGATTTACCTTCAAAGCCCTCATCAGGACTTGGTATCTAGAAAAAAAAATATATTGTAAAGAAAGTCATTTAAAAAAAAATATTACCAAGTGATAAACCTAAATCCTGCTATCATTTCCAGTCTATTGCTTACAGCAATGACTAAGTCRTAAGGTCATAAACTTAAATCCCTCAACCTTTCTGAATCTCCCCTTAAGCATTTCAAATACACAGCTTTTTTCAGAGGTAACTTTTATTTACTAAAAATATGTAGTTTAGATAGAAAAAAAAAAACACAGGGAAAGCAAAGCACTTCAAGTCATTATTTCCAGTATGAAATTTTCTGATTATTCATTACGAGATTTTCAGACATTTAATTATTTAAAAATAATAACCTGCAAAAGGAAAGAGTTGTTTTATTTTGAGGAAAAAAAACAACTCTGTCTTTGGTTCTTCAACATTGAKTTGTCATTTTTTTTAGTTCAGACAAATAATCTTCATGGATTCAGTAGTTCATAGAATCATAGAATCATTGCTATCTTAGAAAAGCTAAGTGTGGCATAGTTGCWCAGTGATCAGCATAGCTGCTATAAAGATATAAAAACCACCATCATAATGAAGTTAATTCCTTCCACTATTTTCAGACAGTTCATTAGATCACTGAACAGAATAAATGCTGCAGATATTTTTTAAGTGCCTTCCTAATTGACAGGTAGTTGAAGCGTTATTAATTTTTACAAGCAATCAAAATAAAAATAATATTTGCCTTTTTTGGGTCATGAAGGTAACTGTTCGTGAAACAGTGTTAATGCATTTTGCCACAGATTAATTTAGGATGGGATCATAAAGGACCTGCTTCCTGATCAGCTTTCTTTGCAGACATTAGCTACCAACAGACCATGGCAATATGCATTTGCCAGCCTTTGTTTACCGCTCCTTAGCTTTAGGAAGGGCTATGCCACCTTGTTTATACCACCTGGTATTTAGGTCAACATTCTAACAATGATTCTTGGTGCCCAAATTGAGATTCTGTAGACCTGATTTTCTGACAGTTTTGAACACCTGCACTTAGAATTGGTTTCCATGGGAACTGCAGTTGATCAGCACGTCTGCAGTTCAAGGCAGAAATATCTTTAGCTGGTCACCTAATTTTAACAGATTTAAATTTTATTTATTTATTTCCAATTGCAAAAAGTGTTTATTCTGAATTTTTACAGTAAAAAAAGTAGATTTCATTTACTTTTGTACCAGGCTAACAGCAGCTTCTAAGAAACAATAAATTACTGACCTTGGAAAAAACAGATGGGTGAATATATACAGCAGATGAACATAGACACAATAGATACACAGAAAACAGAATAGCTGATAAATATATATATTTATACATTTATATATATATATATATATATCTCACACACATATAAAAGACCAATAAAAGATTCCTGAATAGATGCTTCCAATACAAACTGACTGAAGAAAATGCCAAATTAGAAGATTTATTAGTGTCAGTTCTCTAAGATTCACTCTTAGGGCAAGGAGCATCTTACACGTAACACAGTGATGTTCTTTACTGAGAATTATGTGGCTGTTAACTTAAAAATGATGGCTGCAGATACAAAAGAAAGCAACATTACACATGCTATTTTATACACAGAAACCCATCCAATAAGTGAGTACCAAGCATTCCTGCTGGAAACTGGTCCTCAAAGGCCTGGTTCTGCACTTTTACTAAGACTTGACTCATTCACACTATATATAAGCAGATGGCAGTGAAACAGATAAATATAAATTGAAATGGGTGGCTGATAATTTCAAGAAATAATACCTCTTTGGTCAGACTGTACACCAGCCTGTACATCAGCGGTGTGCAATCTACTCTTAGTGTGTAGTTTCCTAAAAGAAAAGAAAAATTGTTTTGATTAGGAAGCAAGTTCTTCTTATTTGAGATTTTGTGCCATTATTTGTAAATATGAAAGGGCTAGAGTTCCATGCCTTCTACAGGAAGGAAGCTGGGATTTTTTTGTTGTTAAGGTTCTCCTAATTCAATGCAGTTTGGTTTAGGATTCAATTTGCGTAGGTTTAGGATGAATTATAGCCCAGCTTTTGAAGTAATCATTATGCTGACTACTCATATTATGAGAAGAGGACAGAGGCATTTTGTTCTCTCCCTCCTGACAGCTTCCCAAGCAGTGTAGTCAGTGTAACAAGCTGCTTCTCCTAAGCAACGTGAAATATCTGAAGGATACATATGATTCTGGGTTATTGCTTCCCTCTATGTCTACTCTTGGTCTAATGGAATGATATTATCATGTTGAAGCTTTCATAGAATGCCAGATTAGACTCAAAGAAGACACCTGTATATGTCATCACTATTGCTGCAAAATGTGTGACAAGACTATATACCTTCAATGGAGGAATCTGCATTGATGTAAGCCACTCCTCGTGCCTGTAATACTTTGGCATTGTCCTGCAAGAAGAAAAGAAGATGTCGATGAGCCTCAAAATTACTTTCATATTTTCTGGAGAAAATAGCAGTTGTTTCAGAGAGGCATCAGATGCCCTCCTGTAGGTAGCCATATAAACTTGCTATTTAATAATAAAACTCGTATGTTTGTGTGTGTATGTAAGAAATAGAGAAAGAGAGAGAAAAAGACAGAGTGAGCAAGTGGAACATACCTCTCTCATACAGATTTCTCGAAGATCTGCCCTATGAAAACATCTATTTGAATGCTTATTGTTTTACCTCGGCCCACTCTGTTGATCCTAACAAGCCAAATTCCTCTGCATCCCAGCTTGCAAATATCACTGTTCTCCTTGGCCTCCATCCTGCAATAAAAGTCCACAAAAAATATATTACAGAAATAAACAGACACTTCATGGTACATTCTGGTTACCAACATTTAAACAAATGTCAATTTGGAGAGGTGTTTCTTTTATCCTAATCTCTGGAGACAGTAAAGGAGTTGATGTTCCATAAAAGTTCCTCTAACACAATCTAAGAATACTTGGCTAATTTTTTAGTGAACTTAAACCCACTGTAGCATTTGCAATATTGGGCAAAACACAGTATTCTTTTTCTTCTCTCAGCTTTAGTGGTAGTGAAATTTTCTAGAATTCAAAACCATGGAAAAAGTATAAAAGTATGTGCATCTGTGTGGATTCTGGAAAAAAAATCTGCTATTTGTATGATTAGTTTGATATCTAATCTAACAGAAACATGTGTTTTGGTATGTTTCAATTCTATTACTGCATTTCTTTGACCGGTTTCTCAAATGGCAGATTTCAAAACTTGAAAGAATTCTCTGCAATTCTGATCTCGCATTCCAAATCAAGATCTTTCACTTAAAGTTCTGCATTTCATATTTAACTCAGGTGAATTGGAACTGGCTATAYTGCCCTGTGTCTCCATCTTTGATCAGTTTTCTTTGAGGCTATTGGTGACTTTTCACCTTTTGCTCCCTTGATTCCTTTCTTTTTTCTTTTCTTCCCTTTTTTTTTTCCCTCACAGTTACCAAATTGTAACTGGAACTGTAATTAATAGGACATTGTGTTATTTCAGAGATCAGTGAGATAGATACACTATTGGATATACTGCTAGCAAGCAAGCTAGCTAGTTGCAAGCTTATTAGTGATACCTATAGCAAATATCTAAGTTAATAATTTTCATTTCAAAACCTTGATTTTCCAGGACATAAAAGCGTGCCTTTAAATACAGGCTCAAATATCAGAAAAATCAATCGGTACAGCTGAAAGCAGTGGGTTTGGTGTGCTTTATTCTTTCATTACATTACCTTCCTTTTTTAGTTTTCCAAAGCTTCTCACAATCTCATGAACCACAGCTGCCCCACTCTGAGGATCAATTCCACCAAATACCCAAGCATCACGGTGGCCTCCCAGGATGACATATCTGTCTAGAGAAATTAATTACGGATGTATATTTGAAGAAATAAWTTATTTTTAAAAGGTTTTATTAAAAAAATCCTACTATAGTAATGTTAATGGGAAGTAATTTCTAATTGTCTATGTAGGTGTCAGATAATAAACTTAATAGCTTAAAGTATATATAATGGAATGCAAAAAGACTTTTTAAATCTCAAAAGACATTTTTCTGTAATTTAAGTTAATGTTAAAGAACTCGTCAAATGCAGTCACTTGATCCCATGAGACTAAAATAGTCTAAATTCCAGTATCATAATGTTGCTTCTATTTTTAGAAATATTACAACTTTCCTTTAAAGACAGGAGCATCTTGCCACATTGTTCAATCAAAGGCTTCATGGTAAATGTGACCAGCTAATTATATCTGTTCATCACATAAACTTGCAATACTGAAGTATGTTGGCAGTAGTTCTAGAAATTTTATATACAGTTAAATAAAAAAAAAAGTTGTCAAAAATATGACAGAAATGTGATTAACATGATAAAAGACAAATCAGACCTCAGATACTATAATAGGTAAACAGATGTGTTTCAGACAACAGCCAAGTCATGGATTAAATGATGTTATCATGGAGATGACTTTTAGGGTATAAAAATCTTTTTCTTTAAAAGAGACTATAAGATAATTAACAAATGGAAGTTATATCTTCAGATGGAATGCAAAACCTTTACAGACTTGTGCTATTCTCAATTTCCATTTGTTTTTTGAACTCTTATAGCTCATAACACAATTCCAGACTACCAGGGAAAAATATCCACTTAAGAATATTGTTTTACTTGCAGTTACTTGCCTGAAGACAAAAATTTCTGGCTACATTATGACTCCTTCTTGAAGCTCAGCATTTATAGCAAAAAGTGCTGCTGTAAACTATGAAAACTTGTGCAGTAAATATTTCAACAGAACTGATTATATAGTATCTCAAAGAAAACTTCCTTCCTGATTGCCTCCCTTATAACTATTACTACATGCATCCAAAAGTCACTGCATGCCCACATAACCCGCAAAAAAGTGTCTTTACCTGGTTCCACGGCACCTCTGATAGTTCCGATCACATTGTAAATCCTTGTTACTTTGTTGTTACTATGAATGTGTAATTTCACCTTTCTAGTACATTGGAAAGACGATTCAAAATGAAAATCCACCAGATTAGTGAATAAAACATCTAGTATTTTTTATAAGTACATGTTATAAATTGCTCATAATGAAGGAATTTAGCCAAATTTAGTTTATATCTAACAGAAGTGAAACTGAAAAGACTTCATTGCATTTTTTTCTGAATTTATATTTGTGTAACTGGGAGCACCATTCAGTCTGTCAAAGCTATCTGCTGTTCTTGATGTCAATAAGGTAGATACTAAGTAAGAAGCTCAGAGGCCCAAACTCAAAAAGACTTTTTGCTAGCAGATTGTTTTTAAATTTGAGAAAGATTTTTAAAAGAAAATTGAAGACCAGCTCATGATAAAAAAGATAAATACTTCTAATCCTTCAGAATATAGTGAAATCAGAATTGCCCCTAGCACAGCCAATGCAATCATGCCGGTGTGACATCGCAAGAATCAGAAAATCACAAGACTTGAATTGCATTGCAGAGACTTCTGTTTATCTACAACATAGCTTGAAGTTCAATAATTTATTCTCAAGGACTGGCTGCATATTTTTCAGAAAAAAAAAATGTGATTTGAATAAAAGGTCAACGGTATATAATAAATCAATATAATAATTCAACCAATATTGAAACAGCTAAATTTCAGTCCTGACTTGCAATCAGTAAATCAGTTTAAACATAATCTGAAATAATAATAATAATAAAACAACACATAGAACACTTTTAGAATTAGAGCACTATTTTTTAGAGTTAGAGCACTTTTTCTGGAAATCCTAACTTGACTATGTTGCTTTTATAAGATAACAATTAAGACCAAAAGCCAGACCCACATAAATTAAAAAGAAGATTACACTCCAAATTCTGGTCTCAAAAAATATCCAGACTCATAAAAGAGTTTGCCAAAGCTTTCCAAACAAAACTGTTTCAAGATTGGCTTGAATCTGAAGCAATTTGTACATATTCATCTAAACAGACATAAATGCTGAAACTTTGCACTGAGTTCACTTCAGCACAAGAAACAGAACTAAAAGGGTGACTTGAATAACCTCAACTGTTCTACCTTTGGTTGTATTCTATTACCTTGATCCTGAACATATTTTCTTTTTGAAGAAAAACTGACCTTGTAGAATAAGTTGTTGTAAAACCAGGACCAATGTTGTAAGATACATTYAAACTTCCTTTCCAGCTACTGTCCGGTGGTGCAGGACCTCCCATGTTACTATTAGGAAAAAATAATACAGCTGAGGATTAGTTACAGTATCTTAAAACAGGAAAAAGCACAAGTGAGGAATCAGAAGCCAAGTTTTTAGGTCTTACAAAAACAAACCAAAAAGATGGTCTCTGTCTTGGAAAGTTTGCACTATTTGATTCTACAGGAGAATTATCCATGTTTCAGCTATATAAATACAAATAAATTAAACATGTACAGGAATGGTCCTGGGCACTGAGGTGACCTGTTCACAGAGCAACCTACTCCTCTGTTGGAAGTGTTCTCTCAGCAATCAAACTTCTTTTGCATTCAAACTGTCTTCTGTAAACAGTACCTGGAATTTCTAAATTTCTTGAACTGAAATTGCAACTCATTCTGTGCTCATTCTGGCACAGAAAAAGAAATCTGCCAGGGATCCTTCCAGCACTTTATCAGTATAGCCACAAATATCAATGGGATACCTGTATTTTCCTATGGAATTAATGGGGCAAAGCTGGACATCTCCAAAATAGGTTGACAACATGCAGCACATGGATTCAGACGGATAATTCAGAGGGGATATAATTTAAACATAAACACCTAAATCATGCTGGGCAACATACAAAACTGGCTCACTCTTTTCTTTAAAATATGAACAAGGAAAAGGACAAGTTGTGCACTTCTCCTTTTACTTACTAATCAGTGCCTATCTTTACTTCTAGCATTTTTTTACGTGGCTCATTGTGTATTTTATATTAAATGATCTGAGGAATTAGCTGTTCGCTATTAGCTTACGTAATTAAAGGCTAGTTACACAAACACAAAGGTCCAGAAAGGATCACAGGAGCAATGACAGGGTAATCTGTGAAGAGAAAACCCTGAACAGTTTTGAGAGAAAACCCTCAAACCGTCATAGGAAAAGGACTAGCACATTGTCCATGGTGTGAAACCCACCAAGATGTGTCAATTAGCAAAGCTCCTCCCAGAACAACTTGCAGATGAAGGGGTAATTGCTGAATGAAGGGGTACAAGGCATGTTATGATGTGCAGAGAACCTTTCGTACTCTGTAAAACACAGTTTTAAAGGGAACTATGGGGACATGTCAGACTTGCCGTGCCCCTTTAGAGGAAAAATGGTCCAGCCAGCGAAGGGTTAGCTAGTGAGTACACTAGCCCGGTCATGTCCTGTGCCTTATCACCACAGTCCTATCTTTTTATTACACTGTATTCTTAAATAGTTTCCTAAGGGTGCTCTCTATTCTATGCATATATGTGCGGTGAGAGGTCTAAAAGCAAGTGTAAAGGGGGGCAGCAACTGGACAGATGGGGGTTATGTGATTCCTTGGGAACGGCAGGCCTGTGTGAGCACAAGCAGGTAGGTAAAATTCACTATCAAATTTCAAGATAGAGTAGCTGGTGAGTAGGACAACATGTTTAGGCAGCAAACTACTAGAGGGACCATAGGTCTGGTACAGAGCTACTGGAAAGATGTTCGAGTATCTGCTACTGAGAAGACCACAGGCTGGTCTGGACCAGCTACCGAACAGACCTGCTTGTGTTTCTGCTTGTGTGATGAGAAGTGGTTTGAGCACCAGCAACTAGAGTGAAGCTGCAAACTTTGGGAACTCGTATGTCCAGACGCCAGCCACTGCAGAGACCCAGTGCTTCAGAACACCCGTGTCAGCATTGTGAATAAGGACCAAATTGTTCCTGTTTCCCAATGCTCATTAAAGGTACTTGCAAACAAGTTTTCTGGCACCAACACAGAACATTTGTTTGTCTTCTGGCTCAAATTAAGATTCCTGCAAAGATGAAAAAAAGAGGAAAAAGTACCTTTTGTGAAGCAGGGAATCAGGGGACTGGAGAATATGTACTAGCATATAGTGTGCCCCTCATCACCACTCATTAGAGCAATCCCTGATGTAAAACCATGACAAGYGTCTTTGTTTTTAAGACTACTGTGGTTTTGTTTTTGTCTTTAAGATTACTGTGGGTTTTTTTTTTCATAGGTTTTCTGCCCATGTCCAGTGTCTATCTATTGCTACACATACATACCTTTAAGAACAGGGATTGTGCTTAAATTTCAAAATAATTTAATGCATGCTATTACTTTTGTGGAACTGTTTTTTCAGGATTAAGATTTGTGTTAATATAGTGGTTGGCATGAGCTTATACTATCGTGCAATAACAGCACTGTTTCACATCATTCAAAAACCTGAAGGAAAAATCACATAGTTAAAGTTATCTCAGTATCAGACTTCATGAAGAAACATACTGATGGACTATTTTATAAACGCTCTTCCTAGTTAAGGCAGCTATTACTGTCTCTGCGTAACAGATTGTAGAAGAGATCTTGAAGCCTACAAGAACAAAAGAATTTGATAGAAAGTATGAAGCAGGGAGATAAGCTTGTGGAGCAGTGAGAAGTCTTTTACCTTGGCACCTTTCTGTGTGCCAAGAYGAAGCAGCTTTGTACATACATTTATGAAAGAAGCTTCCCCTGATAATCTATTTGTGTACATTAAATTTTCCTTATATGCAAACTCAAAAGTACATATTTGAATACCCTGAATTTGATTTTGAATTAACTGAGTATCATCACCTGAATATGGTGTTTTTCACTTTATACCTTATCCTCAACAGTAGTAAATAGACTTTTATTCTACTTCTCTTTTGTTATGTTTTATTCAGTCTCTCTACTTTAGTGTGAATTCTGGTAATTGGTCCATATCTTTTTTGATGCACTACCCAAAATTGGACTCACTATTCTCAAAGGCATCAGACAGAGCAAAATCATGGGACTCATGGGACTTAGATATAAACTCCCCTATAAATACATACACACACACGATTAGGTCCCCATATWGTCCTGAATGCTTTTCTGTGTTTACCAATCCTAGTATTCCCTACTCTTTAGCCATACAGCTGATGCAAACAGTTATACCTACATGCTAGAGGAATGCACTTGGCATTTCAAATMTATCTTATTTTTTTCAGAATGATTATTTTGTTTTGTTAAGATCATTATGAATTTTTATGCTATCATCTGGCAAGCTGGCAGTATTTAATAGGCCCACTTTGTAGCTGTGCCCCTATAATGTTCCAGGGTCTCTCCAGAGTCTTTATTTTAGTTTGAGAGAGCACAGGTTTTAAGTAACAGAACAAAGTACCAGTCCCATCCCATGAGCTATGAATGATAAATATTTTCTGGACAAATGGATGATTTTATGATTTTATGATTTTGTGTGGCTTTTTTTTTTTTTTTACAAGAGAGAATCATGGCAGTCCTACAAATCATTGTCTTTATCATAATGATCCTTTTTTGATCACTCAGCACATATCTAATGCATAGCAACAGATACTAGAATGTGTTTACCTCTCATTAGAAATCCTAATTATAAGCAAATGTACTATTGCAACAACTACACTAGAAGGAAAGTGCAAAAGTCATTTCCCATTCTTTTCAAACACTTCTATGTCTTTTACAAAGCAATCGATTTAAAATTCCCAATGTGCTTTATTTACTTACCGCAGCAGTGACTCAGCATCATGATAACCAATGGGATGAACTGGAATTTTGGGGAGACCTACACCACTGGCTTTGTCCAATCGGTAGGTATATTCTAAAAACAAAATAAAATATTTATATTTACAACTCTCAGCAGGTATTCGTACAATTCATAGCACAGTCCTAACACAGAAGTCAAAAGTAATTATTTCATCCTTGAAACTGGGTTGACATTTCTATAGTGACTTCACTCTACACTTCAACAACATACTTCCAGCAACACTAACAAAACTTCTTCTGTTAGTGTGTGCAATCATATGCATTAGCTGGCTAGAAATTTTTCAATYAATTCTTAATTTTTTGGTTGAAATGTTTTTGGGTAAGAATATTTCTTTCACATAAAGGGTTTTTGGACAAAGCCAAAAGGCAAGGACAAGAGCACAGAGAGAGCCAGTAGTCCTGTGCTTGGAACATTCAACTAGGAACTTAAAAATTGTGCCAGATGATATGAGATGTAGATAAACTCATTTTTATATACTATATACTCAGCCACAGAATATTCTGCTTTCTTACTATTTTCATGGAAAAAAAAAATTCTAGAACTCAAATACAAGTTTGGATCTTTTCTTTTTTCAGAAAAATCTTAATTTTCATAGCATGGTCAAAGTTTTGAAAGTGATTTTTCTAGTGGATGTGGAAAAGACAGGCTTTCCTCCTTACATCAGCATCTGAAGGGACCTTTATCATGTGAGACAAACAGAGATTCATCAATCTAACATGAAAACAAATTCACTCGATCTACTATGAGGAATTGCMAATCATTCCTAAGGTTGCTAGGTTGCAACTGCAACCTCTTCCAGATCTAGTTGTACTGACCAAAGAGACAACTTTCCCTATCGTGTAGGGACTCTTCTTAAGAACTGCCTCCTTCAGACACTGACTGGTGTTGCTCATCAGGAACTGGTGTGAGTGCTGCTTAACACATATCAGTCAAAATGAGCTGGATTCAGTGTTAAATGGAATAAATGGAATGTCTTAGGTAGAACTCAAATGAACAGCTGTGGCAGTGTGAGGTGAAGGTGATGAACCAGCAAGGAGTGGTTCACTCTCCTCAACCCCTTCTGAAATCAGGCCCTCACAGAATGACTTCTTCAGTGACACTCACCCTTCGCAGGATAACCTGGTGTCAGAGGATCCCCTGCCCCATTCAGGTTTAATACATTTCCACGCTGAGCTCCTCCACCTGGCAGGTTCCAGCCTGCTGGATAGGGATTTACTCCTGGGGCGCAGTAGTCAGCAGGGTCAGAGTACAGAATGACTCCCTTGGCACCTGCCAACTCAGCATTCTTTACCTGCAAAGCAGATCTRTGGTCCTGTTCAGCCCCTTATAGCTTGCATAGTGGTCAAAGGTCAAGAGAAAGTATTATAAACTACAGGGACTATACCTCAAAGTGTTTTGCACTGCTTGGACCAAGTAAAGAAATTTTATAGGAATTAAAAATCTGGCCCATACCTGTCTCATACCATGTAATTCCCTGGAAATACACAGGCAGATATTGTGTTTCACATSAATGTAAGAGATCTACTGCAGCCTCAAAAGTAAGGTAGTAACTGAGGTAACACAGAAACCATCCTCCAAGACATAACTACATGAACTGAGATGGTATATTATGACCCAGATCAAAGCTACCACCAGACCATTAAAACATATACATAATGGATTGAAAATATAGATATATTTATATATCGTGAACTTCGAAGTAATTTATCTTTCAGCTAGTCATATATGAATCCCATGTCACTGTTATTTCCTGCGTGAAGGACAAGTTTCTACAGAATTACCATGGAAACCCTTCTGTTGAGACATGGCATCCAAATTAAACCCCCTCTCTTTCCAAACTCCTTCTCAGAGGGGTCTGAGGTGGCCGGATCATATCTTAGTCCAASACTTGGTCAGTTGATTTCTGAGGGATTATGTGTGCAATCAATCCTAGATACAATGTAGTAAAGTTTATAAAGTTTTAGAAACTTTCAACGTGCTGCGTTTGCTTATCATGGATCTACCACTGGATCTCTTAAGGATCTCTTAMTCTTGACCTTGACAGGCATTCTGCTGTAGGGGAGATCTTGGCATGCAGCTCACTGCCTTGCAAGGAGAGCTCACTGGGCATGTGGACTGTCCCGTTATTTATAGGATAAAAAGATTGACTTGTGGTCTTTTTTTTTCGTAACAGATGAAGTTTGACTTGCAACAAGTTCATTTATTCCCTGTCGTGCTGTTTGTTACTTGTCTCCTCCAAGTCCACCCGAATGTCCCCTAGCAGGATGCAGCCACCAGGACTGATCTTGCTGATTATTGTCCAAGTCGGGGAGAGATCTTTGAACTCTCTCTGAAAAGTTGAATTACACTAAAATTTCCATAAGGTTATAGGTAAAAATTTCAGTCTTTTGGAACAAACTAGAAGATCACACAAACAAGATTTTTATCTAGATGTATTACCTTATTTCCTCTGAAGATCTTGCCATATCTAGCGATGACAATCTTTCCTGTACAGTTGATGCCCATTTCACGTTCTAGCTTAAAGAAGTCCTCCGTGCGGCCATAATTCACATACACTAATTCACCCTGACAAAAGGAGGAAAAATTTGAAACAAAAATGTCAACGAGCATGTGAGGAAGAAGATGTGATCTACTAAGAGAATAAGCTAAGAACAACAGCCTCCAGTATTGATGCTGATATGAATTCTTCCTTGATTATAAGCCAAACAGGCAAGTGACCTCTAATGAATTTAGGCCCCTACCATTATTACAGAATCACTGAGGTTGRAAGGCACMTTTGGAGACCATCTAGTCCAAACCCCCAGCATAAATAGGGTCTCCTAGAACAYGTTGCACAAGACTGAATATAGGTGAATTTTGAGTATCTCCAGAGAAGCAGACCCCACAGCCTCTCCAAGCAACCTCTTCCAATGCTCTGTCACTCTCATAGCCAAGTTTTTTTCCTCAAATTCAGGTAGAACTCCCTGTGTTTCAATTTGTGTCTGTTGCCTCTTGTCCTGTTCCTGGCCAACACCGAAGAGTCTGGTCCCATGCTCTTGACATCGTCCCTTAAGATATTTGTACACATCGGTAAGATCCCCTCTCTGTCTTCTCTAGGCTAAACAGACCCAGTTCTCTCAGTCTTTCCTCATGTTCCAGTCCCTGAAATCAGAAGCTGCCTGACTATGGCCTCCAGAATGCAAGATATCGCTCCTCAACTAGAAACAGAGAATAAGTGCTCTGAATATGACCCTTGCTTCTCTTTGTTGGCTTTATAAGAAGTTACAGTCAGTCCCAAAGAGCTGGAGGTATTCTGGACCCAGACATTTCTGAAAATAGCATTTGTACCTTAAGCATCACAGTAAACTCATGCTTATATCCTACAAAAATTCTCAGGATCCTTGATTCCTATTCAATATTGTGGAAGATGGGTAAGTACATTAAGTACATTTTGCACAAGAATCAAGTATCCTTCATGCCTGTGTTTCAACCATGTTATTCACTGCATGATTCATCTTCCTTAATGTCAAGTACCTAGAAGAAATATGCACAGTTTACTGAGGTCAGGCAGCATTCTACAACCAGTGAGAGAGTCTGGAAGTTCTGGAGAGTTTTCAGGCCAAATCAGTTTTAAACAACTTTCTTTAAGAAGGAATAAATTGCATTTTAGAGACATCTCTCACTGACCACATGTATAGATAGAGTTTCAAAGACCAATTTAGGGTAGATGACCATAATTTCAAATAACTAAAATCAGATGACAAGAAACTTTTCCCTAGCAGGGTTTTCTATATTAGCAGACACATCCAGAGAGATGGTTCATTTTAAACTGGAAAGACACAAACTTAAATGTCTTACACTGATGAAATTTCCGAAGTAGAAATTCAGACTGGTTGATAATGCAGCATACAGAACATCCTGTAGAGTGTGGTAAAGTCATTTTAACTATACTGGTTTCATCACCCATCTAGTCAAATTGCAATTTCTTTTTAAATTAAATAAATGGAATCAGATTCTCAGTAAGTGTAAATTAATGAAAAAAAGGAAACTCTATATAATCAAGGGGAACAGTTTCACACCTGCTAAGATTCTGGTGCTCTCTGTTCAGACAGTGTGTCAAACACAAGGATCATTCCTGGAGAGGCTTTCCTGAGTTTACGCACTAGCTTTTCTCCAYGGTAAAATCAAAGGTAATTCTACTGAAATTGGGAAAGATTTTCTATTAGACTTTCTAGTGCAATTAAGTTATTACAGCATAACATAAGATAATAAAACCCTTTGTTTCCTGAGCTTTCAGAAATTACAGGAATTAAATACTGGGCTAAAAGCTCTGTCAGCAGACTGAGATTCAGCAYCAGACACAGAATTTGGTGCTTCATTTTAACATAAGCACTTTAGAGTATCTGGTAGAAAATATTTAAATTTGTAGGCTATCACATTTTTTCAGGCACATTTAAAAATGCCATGTGAATTAAGTTCTAAGGTTTAATTTGGTGGCCTAAACATAGTGGTCTAGCATGATTTGAGCCAGCCTGAAGTATTCATGAACAGAGGTATTAGATATACCACAGGATCCACAAGAAACTTGTGCTTTTCTAGAGTAAGAGTCAGTTAGAAAACCCTAGGGCATCTCAAAGCACACTAGACACCCATTTTTAAGTAACTAAACTGAATAAAAGGTTCTACACCGAGATGAGTTAAATTGTTACCTAGGGCCTGCTGACTGTATTGAATAAACCAAAGTCCACTGCCTATCATGGAAGTTCAGTCACCAAATGCACATATGGATATCTAAGCATATAAATGTATGTTTAGTCTGAAGCTGAAGGCTGTGTGAAGTGGCTGGTTAATCTGGAGGTAGTCAGATTATACACGGCTGGTATTGCCCACCTCAGTGACCCCAAGGGTTTCCATTTTTGCTTCTGTAACAGTATAGGAATAAAAATCTACCATGCACTGAGAAGTAGAAATAAAGCGAAACTATTTCTAAATCTCTGCAGGGTTCACTCTAGCAGACAGCAGAGTGTCCCACTATCATAGGATGTATCCTTCAAGTACAGTGCCAAGTCTATGTATCAACTCTCTATTTAGAGCATTCACCCAGAAAAAGCAAGAGCTGAATTCTTGTCCTCTCTTAGTGTAAAGAATTTTGGGTTCGAAGTTCATGTCTCCACTGAACTGTCTCATATTTGATTACAGTAAAATMATTTTCTAAAGAAAGTTCCATCTTTTCTTATTTCCTATGTCCTATCATGTATTGCAGATCTCCAGAGACCAAATAAATTGGTGAGGTTATTCTGTCTTTCTTTAGGGATATTATGATAGGAAGTCAGAATCCATACTTTAGTATTATGTTCTAAACCCCTATTTCAATTCTTAAAACATTCAAACCTCTCATATCCTGTGGGATAGAGATTATATGTGTCAGTCTCCAGATTCCTTTGAGTATCTGAGACATATGAATACAGGGTATTTTTTTTTTTAAATTTGCACCATCAACTAACAAACTTCAGAAAGTACTGGTATTAAACACTGTTAGCAGGTTGAGATTCAATTCCCTGCTTCAAGCTTTGAAGCAGAGATTGGACTAGAGATACTACAAACAAAGAAATATTTCCTACCTTAGAAATTATTAATTGAAATCACGAATGATGAGAGGATATGAAACTCCTGATACACAGACTAGCTTCATAAAAGGAAACCTGACAGCTGCTACCATCCGTATAACAAGAAAGGAAGGGTTACTGTTAAACCTGGATCTTAATAACACCTTTTTCCCCAGCTAGAAATGCTAGCAAAAGCCATTTGCAGGCATATGGTGCACCCTGTGTTTATACCTGTCAGTGTGAGCTATGGGCAAACAGTTTTTGAAATTAGGCTACTAAAATATAGTCTTACTTATTAATCAAGATGGGAAACAGTAGGGTATATTCACAGTATTATCAGGAGAAGCTGATAACATTAAACATTTATTTACGCCTTTTTTAAAGAAAAGAAAAAAATCCCATTCTGACTCAAAACAGTGTCAAAAAATATGAACAGGTAGGTATGAYTGCTCAATTACAAAGTAGCTCCATTGCAGAACTGCCCAGGACACCAGGACTAGCACATGGCACATTTTTTTTTCTCTTTATGACATCAAGCTCTGAACAAATAAAGTTGAAAGCTAGATATTTCCCAGTTCAGTTATTTACCTCAGGCATTCCTTGGATTGAAAATGCACTGTAAGGTGGCACCACATCTCTAACGTCCTCATATCCTGGAGGAGGAGGCTCAAATAATGATGTGTTGAAAATCTAGTATGAAAGAAGAAAAAAATAAACCAGACAACACTTGGTATGACCAAAGCTTTTACAGGCATTGGGCATCACTTTCAGTACAAAAAGTGTTAACTTGCAAACTGCACCTCAACCCTTCACATGGAATCCTACTTAAATAACATAAAGCCCTTTAAGGTGGTCCCTATACAGCAGAATGGTTTTGTTCTGCTTTGGAGCTTCCACAAGCAATGGACCTGCACTGAAATGTACTAATTTTGCTTGTGTCAGTACCTCTGGAGGCCTATGCTTCAAGAAACTGAATTTAGCAAAATCACCAATCACTCTACAAACAATTTAGTGCAAGTAATGACCACAACTGTATTCCTCTTTCTAAACAATGACAATTCAAAACAACTGAACTACATATTTCTCTTAACTTTTTCTTAATACTCTTAATTTCTTTCTTTTGATCAACACATCTCATCATGTTATATGAATCAGGGTAATGAGTAGTCTACCTAGCATACAGATGGAGAAACAAATAAACGAAAATAAGAAAAGTAAACTGGAACCATCAATTTATCTGAGTTCAGGATCAGGCCCAACAACATCAATAGAGCAGATGATGATCAACTTTCCCTCTTAGTCTTCCAAAGTATTACAGGAGGGTGATTTTTTTTTCCTGGTTGAATAATTGTTTTCTTTACCTCATTTCCAAGCTTATTAATTATTTAGATATAATTGTGTTTATTTTCATCCATGTAAGAAAGCAATAAATAATTGTTTTCTTTACCTCATTTCCAAACTCATCAATTATTGAGATGTAATTGGGCTTAGTTTCATTCGGGTAAGAAAGCAAGACATCATAGTGAGCCAGGTGAACAGAATCCAATCCAAACTCCTTCCACTCAGCTTGGATTTGCTTTGCCAGGTGCAAATTCTCCTCTGTTCCTGCCAGGTGTGGAAGGCGCGTAAAATTGCTAGAGACAAAGAAGTCAAGACAAGGCATTGCAGGTTACAATCAGAACTCACCTTGGCCTACTTAGAAAACAAATCCATTGGAAACCCCCCTAGAGATGTGCAGATGGAGATTAAATCAGGACCCAGTCCTCTGCAGACATAGATTTTTGTCTGTCTGATGTGTAAAGTGAGGTAAAGGGTTTCAGTTTGTCTGAACTGCTACAAGTGTAATCTTCCTAGCAGTGTGACTTAGCAGAAATGGCATGAAAATATCTGATGTGGGGTCTAGTCCTTGTTTTCATCTTTGTCTGCTGGATGACTTGGAGGACCAATCATTTCTATTCATAAGGAGGTCCATCTCCCTTGCTAGGTGATGAAATAATTGAATATGATTATGTAGTCAGATTAAAAATGTGCATAATCGACCTGATTCCTGCATGCAATTGACTGTATATTCTTTTCAGCCCAGTATTTTATTTGAGCCCAGGTATTTATTTATCTATATATGAATTTTATGTATTTATATCTTACTATATCTAGTATGCAAATAAGAGAAAGTGAGTTCACAGCAGCATAAAAACAAGTAACAGGAATTCTCAATTGCTTGTGACTTAAAAATCATTCCATCATACAGAGAAATTAACAGTGCCAGGTATCTCAAATAGTGAGCAGCACACTGACTGAAAAGAACCTTGCCCAGACCACTGAGTAGGTTCAGTGGTAAAGTGGGCTGAAGAATGAGATTGTCATGTCCTCATTCTGTCACAAGACTGCATCACCAACATTTCATAGAAACATGTGTTACACCAGCTACTATTAATGAGAAAAATTGGATCTCGGACAGGGAAAGGGTATAAGTTCGGGAAAAACAATAAAAGAAACCCCTTGATCTCCAGGGAGAACAAAGCCAGCAAACAAAGTATTTCATAAGCACTACATATTCCTGTTTTTGTGCAGAATACTATTAGGTAACACCATGTTCCTCTCATAAAGTCAACATCTTGTATCAACAACATACTGTAAGTTCCTGTCAGAAGGAAGGTACCTTTTTTGGGATGATATATTGAACCAAGCTCATGGTTATGTGCTAAAGAGGCAATAGCTGTAAGATTTAGGAATTTTTAACTCTTGTGTTTTGGCTAAAGATGGACTTATCCAAAATATCCTGCTGTATTCATGTCTGTTGCATTGAATATTGTTACTTTCCTCATTTCCTGTTCTAAGYTGTTGATGGCCTGTACTGGCAGTTCTGAGTCATGGTTAAGTATTTGCTATATTTCACCACAGAATTGGCTGCACTATAAATAATGAGACGGGGAATTTGAATGGCAGAAAAGAGGCCTTTTACAGAGTTGTCCAGCAACAGCTGACTTGTCTGAAACCAAAATACAGGTTGAGTCTGTAAAAAGTCCTGAGGCTTCAGTTTTCAACACTGTTCTCACCACTAAAAAGAATGTACTTTGAAGTTAATTTACCTGCAACAGTTCACGGCAAGTGCAATTAAAGTGAAATCAGAGGGAAAGCCAAAGTCTTATAAATGAAAATGCTTTTTTAGTAAGATTAGTTTTAATTATTTTTCTTTTGTAAGGCCTTGGAACGTGATACAACCTCAAGGTACTTAATCAGGCTAGGAATTAAAAGCAAACCATAACCCACTGATTAATCCTAAAATTACTCATCCTTGATACTATTTTTTTACAAAGAAAGATTAATTTCTTTCAATAAGTTATGACTTTTGATCATTTTTGTACTTTTAACAAACACTACAATCCTCTAACAGACAAAAAAAACTGTTTATAAGATCCCTAAGATAAACAACTAACAGCACAGCAGCAGCTTTGTAATTAAAGCTTCTAATTAAATTACAGAAATTAGGGATTATAATAGATTTTAAAAATGGTTCTCTTCCACCAATGGAATAATCAGAAACAAATGTTAGCAGCTTGCTTGCAGGATTTAATACAAGAATCACTGTTAAAATTTTTAAAATCACCTGTCTAATTTACCGAAGAGTAGGTAAAATTAATAAATTATTTGAAAAAAATCCTTTACGATTTATGATTATTACGTCTACACATCACTTACTAAAGAAACTTCTTGATGTTTTCTGCTTTCATTTCGGCCATAAATGCTCTCTTCATCTTTTCATGAGGCCTCAGAGATGTCTTCTCTTCTGCAGGTTTTGCAAACCAGCCTACATGACGCACCAAAATATAACYATGAAATCATCAGAACAACATTCTTATGGCACGCATCGATTTTCTTTGGGATGACTACAATATTTTCACCGCATATTTTACAAATATTTTTATTAATGTATGATGAAGCAACTACAACTAAGGCAGAGCCCAGTAATATCTGTGGTGTAGAGTAAGAGAACTTAGTGATTATTGTGTGGGGGGGTGTAAAACAGWATGGTTTTTTCATCACATTTATTGTACTAGGGATGCTGAGGAGTCTTACTTGCTTTTCTTGGGTACCAGAATGCTGTCAGTCATTTCAGTCACCTCAGTAACCAGGCAGCAGCTATGCAGAAATGCACAGACAGCCTCTATAAGGAACAGATGTCTCGTAACCACTTTCTCACCCTCCAGTCCGCCTGGCTCTTACTCTGGAGTCACTCCCGTACTGCACAGGGATTAGTAGAATAAGTGATGAGAGGTACACCTGGCTCGAAAGAGTTTCTGGCATCTGTTTCTATTTTCAGCTCGGGGACCGGGCATATTCCATGGGAATGCCGGCCACGTTACACTGCTAGAAGAGCCCCGTGGGGAGTCAAGGCGGGCACCTCAGAAAATGAGTCTCCCCTAGCCTACACTCTATACATAAAACCCGAGAAAAACGCCAAAAACAAATTCGCCGCAGAGCACCCCCCACGCGCTGGAGAAGCAGCAACTTGTCCACCCGCCGGCCCCGGCCCGCCTCCGCGGCGCCAGACGTGCTCCAGAGATCCCAGAAGCGAAGGGAGAGGGTTGAGCCCGCACTGTACCCACGAGGAAGCCAAAGAGGAAGAGTCCGACGGCGGCTGCCCCCATCAGAGCCCAGAAGCGGCCGCTGGCTGCGCGGGGGCCGGCGGGCTCCGTCATGCTGCGCAGCGAGGTCCACATGGCCGGCAGCGCCGAGACGGACCGGGCCGCGCCTCGGCGCCCGCCCCATGGCCACCAGTCCCGCCCCGTTACGGGGGAGGCGGGAGGCGAGGGAGGAGGCCGCGGATCCCAGGCCGGGACACAAGCAGCGCCGCAGGCACTTGCYGCTCTCCAGCGTCTGCCCTTGCCCAGTGTGTCCTGTCGCACCGCAGGGGACCTGTTTTGTGTTCCACAACCACGCTCTGGTTGTGGAAACTTGCAGCAAAATCGAGCGGGGACCCGAGGTCCCTATTTCAGTGCTGGGTTGTTTCACACACAGCTGTGCTGCCAGCGGCTGTAACACCAAGAAGATGAATAAAACAAGGTCAAAGTCATTACAATATATATTTATATACCTATATATATATTTGTGTGTATATGTATATATCCCACTACCCACATAGCATGTCAACAAGGAACTTTTTAGCAGTTTGGAAAGCATCCGTAGGGCTCCTGAAGGTATGTGGAGTATCTCTGTGTGGGACAGACCTTTATAGAATGAGTGGTGTAATTAACTTCATGAGCACAAACAGGAGACAAGCTCTAGAAATGCCTTCACTTTTTCTCCTACCTTGTAGGTTCCCGTGGGTGCAGAAGGAAGTGCCTGGGTGGGAAGGCTTAAAAACAGGGATCCCAACAAAAATAACACATGTCCACCTCCTTCCATGATTAGAAGGATCATTTCTTAACGACAGAACAATTCCTTCTCTTTAAGTGTCAGCTGTGCAGCTTTTCATTTTTGAAAGGCCTTTCCATTTGGTTCAGTCACAGTATTTGGGATGAGGCTGTACCGTTAGGTCCATGAATTGTGAGTAATTTGATATCTGAGCCTCCCCAGCTCTTTACTAATGTTCATGCTGAGAATCCTTGCAGAGATGCCAACGAGGTACGCAACCTATGTCCACAGTTTAGATGGCCTCTTCCCAGTGCAAAGTGAATCACTTTAAATCTGTGCCTACTGGACTACACTACTTGCTCGTGTAAGCATAGCCTAAGTCTACGAATTATCCCATACACTGGACTTGTCTGATCTCATCTGCAGAGCCCAGTGCACTACAAATACTATTAGGTCAAGACAGTGAGAAAGACCTTGTGCAAAGCAGTAGTATTGATGGTGCCCTTTTATTAGCAAAGAACAATACAGCAATAATGTAGACGTATAATGGCACATTTATGAGAAACAAACTCCAAAGGACCATGTGCAGCTACTAAAAAAMCAAAATCCACTATTTGTGATAATCATCTTGTCTCCTATTTTATGCTTTTCTGTGCAATCTTGCCCTGTTAAGCAATACTTGCTCCTGYTTCAATGACATGGTTTATACCCAGTTGGGTACTCTACCACACTGCCAAGTCAAATCTAGATGCTTGCCAAGTTACTTCTATCATGCTGGCTTTTGCAAATGCCATTTTTTAATGCCCAGCTCTCTCCTATCAGAAATATGAAACCTAGGTTTGGAAATGAATGTAGTGGATCTTCTCAACCCTCTGAATGATAGGTGCACTAAAGTTCAATGAAAAAAAATTAAGTTCTTTTGGGATTCAGATATCTCTGCTAAGGAGTTTTCCAGTCAATGACTTCTAGTTTCAGGGAAGACAAATTTMAGAACTCTTTTCAATATAGCTCCCTGAGGGCTGAGAAATAAATCCCTGTTGAATTTAATTGTGGCAGTTGAAGGCTGTACCTCCCCTCAGCAGTTTACTTTCTTTCAACATTTTACTTTGGAAGTGAAATAATGTGCCCATGTTCTCTACCATCCTGCTGTATACTGGTGAAAGTGAAATAATGGTTTTAAGTTGAAGAATGACTGAAGAATATATACTGTTCTAKTATTCCTAATTGACTCTGGCAGAAGATAGAGTGGAGAGCTAGAARTGATAACCTCTTTCAGTCACTACCTCTGTACTAGAGCATCGCTTGAGATACACTATGGTTGTGGATATACTGCAACATAGTCTTGTAGCTTTCCTTCACAGGATACGATAGGAATTCTGTTCCATAGAATATTTTGCAGTTGTCTTCTAACCACTACCTTTGGATTTMGCATTAAAAAGTAGATGGATACAACTAGAGCACTTCCAAGTCTATGAACTTCAAAATGCTGCTGGTTCATCTAATTTTTGTCTGAAACGTAGAAATTAAGTTAATGAAGCACTGTGAGACAAAGCACTGATTAAAAAAAGACCAAAAGTATCTCTAGATTAATATTCCAGAGGGATTTAATCTAATAGATTATTGCCATATTGATTCATATAAAATAAGAAAAAAGGAACGGTGAGGAAACTGAGATGTCAATATTGTCAAAAGTTGTTGTGCTGTTCTTTACTCTTAAACCAACCTGCAAGCCCACCACACTTAAAGACTCTGCRTTACTGCTTTGAGCCATTTAAGCCTTTTAGTGTACTTGAAGCTTGGACAGAACATTATGACCCTTACAGAATAGCAAAAGCCAACAGGTATAAAAAAACTTTATTCAAGAGCAAATTTCAGTTGTGATAAATGAATAAAATGTTAAAATGTTAGGCCTAGTGGAAAATGCTCTAGTGGAAAAGCTTATTACAAAAAAGATTCTCACCTTTTAAGATTTTTCTTACACTGCCTTCTAGTTTCATATCTTCAAACTATTCAACATATCGGCTATCCACTTTTTACTTGTATACAGCACAGAAATAAGTATCTTTATAGCTTGTATATACACTTTTGCATGTATCCATAACAGAAATCATATGAGTAAAATTTTATTAGGTGGCTAGACACAATACTGCTTGTTGTTACAGCAAGTATAAATTGTTACAGTACTTTTGAAATTATATCATTCCGAAAGGTGCCACATATGTCTATACATTAGAAATAATACTGGAGTTGTCTTAGTATCTTTTACCCTGTAGATGCCAATATATATAAAAATTCAGAAGCCAGAATGCTGTTGATGTGTGTTCATGAAACATGAGCAATGACAGAAGTCAATATAAACACTATCTCCCTGATTTTAATTTGTATTAGTCAAGTTTATTAGCTTTTCTTATTCAGGCTGTGCCATGCATTTTTACTATGTAGGTCTGTACTACCTCTTTCTCCAGAGGTTCTTTTGTCTCCACTTTCCTTTCTAGTGATTTCCTCAATTTTAAATGAGGAACTTATTTTATTAAGTAAGGAACCACTTAAAACTTAGTAAGGGAAACTGTGCCCCAGTGAACATGGGCATGAATTGACCTGTAAGTGCCTATTGGTCAGATACCCTCTTGCATTAACTCCTTGACTCCTTTTCTGTTGTAAAATGTTACATTATTTTCTCTGTAAGAAATARTAATTTAGCTTTCCTGAATGTGGTTTACTAGCCTGATTTACTAGCCTTCCTGAGTGTGACACAGGAACTACTTTTATATTTGCTTCTTTGCAACTTTAGTCTCCTGAAGACCTGACATAAAGTGATCTGGGTGATACCTGCCCCTTTGGTAGTATTAAAATATTAATTGAGCTAAAGCTGCTCTAAGTTGGTGTCACTAATAGATAGTAAAGGGTCTGTTACTAACACAGAATTAACCTGCTATGGTTGAACTGCCTGGAACTTAACTACCAGTTCAGAGAGACTTCTTGTGAAAGACAATTTCTTCTGTGCTTGTCTTCATCTTTTGTCTTGCCAGGATGTTGATTTTTTTACATAAAGAAAGCAGAGATGATTCTGGTAGTTCCTCCCAAAGCCTAGACTAACAAAGTAACATGGGTAACAAAGAACTGAGCTCTGCTCAAGGCATGCGCTCAGAAATCCTCATCAGCTTTAGAGCAAAGCTGATGTCAAAGCATGGGCCTTCCTGTTCTGAGAAATCAATAAAATGCAATTTAGTCGCATTGCAACTGCCTTGAGATAGGCATCCTGACAGTGTCAGCTTTCCTCACAGCAGCAAGAGAGTGCTCTGAAACCTGTTAATATCCCAGGTTTTGCTACAGGAGTAGAGAATAAAATTGTTTTTTCCTACACTACCAGTACAGACTTAAACTGTGCTGCCATTTAAATGCTGCTCTTTACAGATGGTGTGTCACTGTATTTTCCAATGTATATTGTTTGAATTCTGTGCAATAGTAGTGTTRCTGTGATTATCACTCATATGTATTTTGGCAACTTTGTCTACTCCCAGCTGTTTATTCTTTCTAATTTTCTATTGCAGCTGGAAGCATTTTGTGTATGCAGGGATCCATTTCAATTCTGTTGGTGAACAAGATACACCGGTTTTAAATTTTAAAAACAAGTTAAAAATAGGCACCACAGTAATGGACATTTCCTTTTGTTGTGTGATTGCATTGTAATGCAATATATGAAGTTGCTTTTTTTTTTTTTAGTTTCCTATACTGAATTTCATCTCAGAAATGAGATACTAATGATTCTCAGAGGGCTTTTTGCGGTCAGACGTTGGAAATATGTGTTTGTTCCACAAGTTCTCAATGTCTGTGTAAATTTTTGTTACTATACAGGATTAGCCTATAGTTGGAAATTTTACTTTTTTTCTAAGACAATCATATCCAAGGAAATGTGAATACTAGCTTTAGACAGCACCATTTCTTCTTGTGAATTTGAAGCACTTTTTCCTGCATACTTCTTTTTATCCTCACTGAATCTGAAGTAGAGAGGGTTTTCTTTTTTTGACTTGGCTGAGGTCACTGTTAGAAATAGAAAGGTCTCTGATTTCCCAGCCCTGTATCCTGACCACCAGACTACAATAACTTCCCCGAACCAGGGTCTGTTGGTATTCCTTGGCTTTTAACTAGTTCTTCATCTTTGCAACTGCAATTACTGTGGAAATAAGTTGTTCTGACACAGATAATTATGCCCTGTTTGCATGTTGAGAAAAATAATATCAGTTCCACTTAAGGTGTCATAATTTCTTCAGTAGATAAAACATGAGAAGTTTTTTTTTTCTTGTTGCTGTGCATATTTCAAACTTTGTCTTTACTTGAAAAACATCCCAGTGGCTTAAATTAGTTG